AGGGTCCTGACGCTGCACCAAGGCTCCAAGCCGGTGGGCCTACGGACGCCTTTCCATCCACTCAACAAGGGACCAAAGACCTTCAAGCTCAAGGCCTCCTCCAGCAGCCTCCCAACTTCCATCAGCTGGAAGGGGAAACAACAAAACAAAGGAACCACTAACCTGCCCTCCAGATCCTACAGCCCTCAGCCCCAACCTCCTTCTTCAGACAGCCAGACTCACCTTCTCTACTCTGACCCTGAGTTTCTCAGATAAAAACATGCCAGCAAAGGTATCATTCCACCAGAAAATCCAAACTCGCGTCTTGTTCGGATAGGTTAGAGTTGGTGTGTACTTTGGGAGATGGGGTGGCAATTCTGTGTCATCCCTGGGGTAATAGTAAAGCATTGTTGGGGACCAAGACAGATCCACTAGCTATCCTTTTCTTCCTCCTCCACATTCTCTTCCTCTCAAAATAGGTACCGTTTTTTGAAATCCCTGAGACAGCTCCGTGCAGGTTGAACCAGGGAGGATTGCTGGGCGCCAGGCCGGCCGCCCGCAGGGGGCGCGCTGCTATCGCAGCACAGCCCAGGGAAGGTGAGCCCGAAGGAGAGCGTCCAGCTCCCCGTGGCGCGCCCACGGCTGGGGGCTTGAAGATAAAGTCGCGCCCTGGGTTTTTAGTCACACTGAGGCTACCACACAGCCTGCGATGGGATGGCACAGTCCATCCCAAGCAGCGATGGCAGGGCTGGGTCTCTAGTGACCACAGCAACCCTGGGCCAGGCGGGTAGCTCAGCCAACCCCTCCCCCCTCCCCCCAATCACCTTCCCGGTGCTTCCAAGGGGCTCGGGGCAGCACCACAGGCAGGTCAGCCGGTCACCCTTTGAACAGGCCCAGATGTTTACTTATCTCAGGTGGCCATCCTCACCTGAGTGGCCACACAATAACCGTCAGGCCTCCTCAAGCCCCCAAAGCAGCCCCCCCCCCCCCAGTCAAACCGCATGAGCTCCTTGCTCCTTTCTCTCCTCACCGGGATGTTTGTGCTCCCTGGTGGGGACAGCAAGAGGAAACTCTTGTCTCATATCCTCCAGGATTCAGACATGGGCTGCAAGAAAGGCTCACTTAGATTTAGAACCTTCTGCTAACTCTCCCAAGAGTGAGGCCTTTTGGTTTCCTGCTGTGCTGGTATGTGTGGGGTCTCCGGCCAACTCTCCCTGGTGCTTGGCCACGGTTGGGCCTGAGGGTGGGGTGGGGGTAATCCCTGTCTGACTACTGGCCCGGTCCCCAGCCACTCTGGGAGGAGGCCCTCCCAGGCCTTCAGAAGAGGCGCTCCTCACGGGATCCAGCCCAGCTACCTACCAGCCCTTTGTTTGAGTGGCGGCTTGCTGGGAGCAGCTGCACTCTGCCCCGGAAACCTGGGGCTGGAGGGAACCAATGCACTTGGTGCCTTCTCTTCCCACCCTACGACCCAGGCGCTCCCCACACCCAGTCCCGGCTTTTCTCCCGGATCTGGCCCGAGTCTTTGAGGATGGGGAAGTGGGGTTCCCAGAGCCAGCACCGCACTCCTGCTGGGCTCCCGTGGCCCCAGGAAGCATGAGGACAGTTGAAATGTCACCCACCGGGATAAATATTAACAAAAAGCAAATGGACTTGCGCAGGGGCCTGTTATCAATCAACCAGGCCGCAAGGCCACTTACGGCAAACACAGTCCAGGTTGACCCGGGCCAGACTTTCTCATGGCCACCTCCTGGCTTGACAGCCCCCCCCCCCACCTGCTCCCCTCCCTGCCTCGTGCCCATCCACCCCTTACCCCCAGGCCCTTTTCTAAGTCACTCTGGAACAAATTCTGGATAGGAAGGGGGCGAAGTCCGGGTTCCTGGCGATCCAGCCGGCTCCGTGGCATTTGGAGGTTTCCTTGCCTCCAGGTACCAAAGGGTGCGAGGGGCCCAGCACACACCCCTGCCCGAATCCCGGGCAGTCCCCGGTGCTGTGCCAGCTGGCCGGTGTGCTCTGCAGCCTCTTCCTGCGCTGGCAGCTCCCCTAGCGTGTTGGACGCCTTCTGGAATCTTTAATTGGAAACTAATCTCCTCACATCTTAATAGGCACCCACGTCAGAGGCGGGACGCCCACCCACCCACCCACCCACCGCGCAGCCAAGACCTCCCACCCCCACCTGGGACGAGGGAGGAGCGGCGCGAATCTGGTTGCGCTGCACTTGAATGGGGGCAGCAGCAAGTATTGCATTGAGGGAACATATATTGATTTTTAAAAGGTAGTTAATTTGGTGAGAATTTCCTCCTGTCTCCCTCCCTTCTTCCACCAGCAGATGTAATTTCCTAAGGAGAAGGCACCTCCCCAAACATGTTGCCACGTGTGGAGAGGGCTTGACTCTCACCAACTTGCACGGAGCCTAGAGCACAGGGAGGGGCATGAAGAAACCACTCTCCTGCCACCTCTGGAACCGATTACCGCGGTGTGCCCCGGCCTGGCGTGGGGTAGGGACTAGGTTGACAGGTCTTTGAGTGCAACAGCAAGCATAGCTGCCAAGAGCTTCTGGGAGCCCGGGGAGTGGTGGTGGAGAGGAGGCAGCAAGGTTGCACAGCTGCAGCCAACAAGCCTGGAAACCCGTTTTGAGTCTCCGGCAAAGCTCAGTCGGAAACAACGCTAACAGAACGACAGAACGCCTCGTAGTTCTCCGGTGACTTAAAAGTAGATCGTGGCTTTTGCAGCAAAATGGCATTGCTCCCGGTTCCCTCCGCACCAGCCCTTGTCCCAGCCATCCTCACCCCTTTAAGCTAAAGAAAGGGAAATGAAAGGGTCGACGTTCCATGCGGGTCTTAGGATGCCGAGTCCGTTTGGGATTAGGAGTTCAAACGTGTGTCCTACCAGAATCCTCAAACCGCCTCCCCCTCCCCCCAAAAAAGACTACGTGCCTGGGGCGGAGAACGACAGGGCACAGGCTGCTGGGTGCCGGGCAGGCGCCCACTCGATAGCCTCCTCGGTTCTACGAGCCTCAGCCAGCACGCTGCCCGCGCCTCCCCTGTGCGGGTCGCAGTATTCGGGCTCCCCTAAACAGCACCGGGGCGCTCAGGCATGGAGATCAGAGGGCGCTCACGCAGGGCAGGGCCCAAGATCGGGTGTCCAGGGCTGGGGGCGGTGGGCGGGGGGGGGGGGGGGAAGAGTGGGGAGGGGGGAGCCAATCGTCTCTGAACAGAACCTGAGAGAGCCTGTCCTTCCAGGCGGCAATAGGAGGCAACGAGAGAGGAAGGGCCAAGGAAGTCCTGGAGCAAGCGCCTACACGGGGTGGCGGACGGGCTCCCTGGGGGCACCCCTCCTTTCCCACCAGCCCTCCACCCCCTCCTCCGCCGGCCAGTGCGGGTACTGCCCCGGGAAAGGTCTCGGAGCCCGGCTGGAGTCTGGCGCGGGCGTGTGAACAGGCTCTGACCACCTCAGGCGCCCGCATGGGTGGAGCGGTCCGGGAGAGAGGCAGCCGTTTCCCCACCCTCCCTGGGACTCCAGCGGCTCCCGGCTCTCGGCCGGCCCGCAGGGGTGGTGGAGGGCGGGACAGGGCGATGCGGCGGCAGCACGCGAGGCTGGCGAGGGGAATCGCGGGAGCCTAGAGGGCAGCCACTCAGCCTCTTCTTCCCTCTCCCTGCGCCTGCCTTCCCCGCGTGGGGTCTTTGCTGGGAGCGAAGGAGCGGCGGGTCGCTCGGGAGGGGAGGCGGAGCGCCCGGCCCCGCAGGTTGCTCCGGGCCGCCGGCCGCCGGAGTCCCGGGCTCGGGGCGCGCCGGCACCTGCCTCCCTCCGGCTCCTCATTGGCCCGCGCGCGGTGGGGGAGGGGGCCCCGGCCTCTGGCTTTGATTTTAGTCCGTGAAACTGCTCCGTGCCCTCGGCTTTGAGCGGATTGACTGTCTCCCGTTCTCCAGGGACGAATTAATGGAGAACGATCAGTTAATTAACAAACCCGCATATCGGCTTTTACCTTTCTCTTCGCCGGGACTCGGGCCGTGGCGCCCGCCGGGGCTAAAATTGGGGGTTTGGGGGTGGGGGTGGAGGGATGAACCCAGGAGTCACACAGTTCAGCCCGGGTCTCACCAAACCGAGTCCGCCCGAGGCTAGCCCTGGCTCTGCTTCCCCTCGCGTCCCCGCCCTCGGAGGTCGCAGAAGGCGCACCAAATCCTCGGCGCCATACAGCTGCGTCCTCACCTCGGCCGAAGGAGGCGCGGGGAGCGCGGCACCGGGTCTGTGCAGCCCCGCCTAGATCTTCGGCTCACCTCCCAAACGCTTCGGGGCTCGGGTCCAGGAGACCTTGGCTCGCAGACTCGGGGGCCATCCACACCCCCCACCCTTCCCTGCATTGGGATTTAGCCGGGAAAAAAAAATCATGCAAAGGAATAAAATGAAAACGAGGAGTCCTAGGCGAAGCGGTCTCTGGGCGGACCAGGACCCCCGCGCCGTCGGTCCCGCTCTTCCTTCCACAGCCCCCTGCAAGCGCGCGCGAACTCAGACTCTCCGCCATGCACCCGCCGGCTCGCGGCTTTGGAACCTTCTGCCCTAACTCTGCCTGCGGGCCCCTCCCGCCCCAACGGAGTTAGTGCGGGAAGGGGGGCATCTAGTTCAGATCAACACTGGTAGGCAGCCCCAGCCCCAGCCCCAGCCCCAGTGTCCGACCGAGAAGCCACGCACAGACAGGGTCTCCCCAGGTGTGGGTTTTTTTTCTTCGCCTCAGGCAGTGCGGGTTTCCCCGCGCTGACTCCCCAGCACAGATGCGCCCCGAAGTCAGCTCTCAGAGCCTTCTACAGCCCAACGCACCAAGTCCTGGGGGAGGCGGTCTGCTGCCTGGAGGCCCCCCCCCCTCCGCACTGGCTCTTCCAGGCCCCAGGACCCCACCTGGGGCGGGGGGGAGAAGGAGAAGGGGTGAAGAGGCCCAGTCCTCTCTTCTTCCCACCCTCCTTGGGTTCCTAGGCGCCTCCGTTCCTTCTATCCCCTCTCGCCCCACTCCTTGGCCCGCGCTCACTCACCTGCTAAGCGGAGCGCGGACATGCGTTGGAACTCCGGCTCCTGCAGCCACTTCCACATCCTCCGGAACGTCTCCCGGCCCGACTTGAGTTTGCTCCACGGTTTGGGGTTGCGCAGCAGGTCCGAGAGGGTCCCCTGGGAGCGGCAGAGCACCCTCTGCGCGAAGATGGCCTGCGGGATGCTGTAGCGCTTGAGCTCGGTGGTGATGCGCTGGGCCACCTCTTTGGTATTGATCTCTTCCATTTGTCCCGAGTTACTTCCACTGCTGACCTGCGCCCCGGTCACCGAGGGGTTGGGCTCCCGAGCCGTGCCCAGGAGCTGCCCGTGGCCCTGGGCGTTCAGGTGGGCGTGCGGGTGGTGCGGGGGGAGGCCGTTGATGGGGACCATGCCTGCCGAGGTGGGCGTGAGGTGCTGCTCCCCGTGGCGGCCCAGCATGGCCGGGTGGTGGGCTTCGAAGCCGTTGGGGGTGAGCATCTTGTCGGCGGGCATGGCGGCGCCAGGGTGAGCGTAGTGGGGGAGCCCTTGCTGGGAGTTGTGGATGCTGCCCAGGCCGGAGCCGGAGAGGGGCGAGAGGCTCTGGCCCATGCCGGCCACGTCCTTGTGGTAGGGGGTGTAGAGGTTATTCATGGAGGCCAGCCCGCGCTCATCCCGCATGAGCGTGAAGCTGCCGCTCACGTTGCCTGCCAGGCGCTGGTGGTGGTGCGGGTGGTGGTGGTGATGGTGGTGGTGGTGGTGGTGATGGTGGGGGAACTTGTCCGACACGGTGGAGATGGGCGGCAGCGGCTGCAGCGGGGTGAGGGTGGTGTAGGTGGTGGGCATGCTCATACCTGGGGGGGTCTCGCAGGCCATGGTCATGGTGGGGTGCAGGGGGCCGGCCAGGCTGTGCTCGGGGGCGCGGTGGTGGTGGTGGTAGTCGCCGCCGCCGCCGCCGCCGCCGTCCAGCAGGGACGCCATGCCCATGGAGCGCGGGTGCGCGGGGGGCAGGTGGCCGCCGCGGTGCGCCACGGAGCTGCGCGCGTGGGGGCTGCCGCCCAGCAGGTCGGCAGGGGCGGGCACCGGCTCATGGCTCACCCCGTGCAGCTCGCCGATCGCCTCCATGGTCAGCTGCGCGTTCATCGTGATCCGGGCGAGCGGGCGGGCGGCGGACACAACATCGATGAGGCCGGACAGCGGCGGCGGCGGCGGCGGAGGGCGCGCGGAGTACGGTCTTCACATCGGCTGCCTGCCTGCCGGCCACTGCTGCCTTCCTGGCTTCCTTCCTTCCTTTTCCTCTCGCTGCGGGGCTCTGTCTGCCTCTCTGTGTGTATCGCCTTCCCTCTTGCCCCCACCTTTTCCCTCTGCGTTCGCTTCCTCTCTCTCTCTTTTTTAATATTAATTTTCAAAAAGGATCTTCACCGTTGGGTGAGCGCTGTGGCCCCCAGCCCCCTCGCACCCTGGCCCCCTCTCGGCCCTCTCGCTTAGAATCGTGAGCTCCCCGGCTCCCCTGACGCAGCCCGCGCGCCTTCCGCGGTCGCCGCCTGCCCGCGCCGCTGGCCAGCTCGAGCCATGGCTGGGTCACTGGTGCAGACTCTGTGGCCGCGGAGCCGCCGCCGCCGCCGCCGCCGCCACCGCCGCGGCCCGCCCTCCCGCCCGCCGGGCGCAGCGCGCAGGCGCGCGGCCCGGCCCCGCCCCCTCGGACCCCGCGCGCGCGGCCCGTGACGTCCCCTTACAAATGCGGGCGGGGGTCCCGCGCCTCCTCCGTGGCGCCGGGTGGCCGGGGTGGCGGCGCGCACGTGGAAAGGCCCAGCATGCAGGGCGACCTGGGCCGCCGCCACAGCCCTGGGAGGAGACCCGCGTCCCTCTCGGCTCCCAGGCTCGGGTGGGCTCTCCTCCCCGCTCCCCGGCTGCACTTGCGGGGCTTTCCTGCCGGGTGTTGCGCCGAAGAGCCGTGGGCAGAGCTCTCTCTCTCCAGCTGCTGCCTCCCGGCGCAGTTGGCCCGGGATGCGGGGGCTGTCACCACTCCTTCCACCTGGCCCACTAAAGGTGCATTTTCCAGAGGACTTCTGGGAGTCCACGTTTGCCCCATCCGCAGGGAACAGATATCTTAGAGGCCTGGGTCAGCTCTGTGGCTGTTGACCCAGAGGTCTCGGACCTCCTGGATAATCCTCTGCCCACCCCTCTCTCCTCTTCCACCATGTGGGAGGGGAGCACTCGGTGCCCAGAGTCCCAGCCTGGGCCATACCTGGCTGTCTCCCGCAGGCTGGCTCCTTCTCTGGCTCAGCGGACAATTAAGTCAGGCGCGTCTGCTTCCGAAGACACGAGAGTGTGTGTGTGTGTGTGTGTGTGTGTGTGTGTGTGTGTGTGTGTGTGTTGGGGAGGGGAGTGTCCTGCTGGGTTCCCATGCTAACTTCTGGGTGCTGGTGGGCCATTCCTGTGACTTCTTCTTGGCCCTCCTGCTGAGGCACCGGGAGCCACTGCTTGCAGGAAGGACTGATCCCCCACAGGGTGGACGGGGAGCTCCAGACTCTGCTTGGCCCGTAGGGACGCCCTCTTCCCGTCCATCCGCGTGAGGAGCCTCCAGATTTGAAAATCAATTCAGCTTCAGGCATAATTGTCAACTCCTCACAATTACACTCCAATCTGGAAACGAACTTGGGCCTTGGGCCTGGCGGGGACGCGTGGGGAGGCCCCCAGTGTGGGATGTACACCCGGCCGCCACATGCCGTGGCTTTCTTTCATTTACAAAGGAAAGGGGAAAAAAATCTGTAACAAAAGGCAGGCCGTGTCCGCTTAGGTGCTTTCATCCCTCGGAGAAAGGACAGATGTGCCCATTGTCAGGCTCTTGGCAGTTACGACCGGGTCAGCGCCAAGCCTCAGCCCGGGGCGAGAGGTGGTCACAATGGGGGCCTGCCTCTCAAAGCCTGGATATCTGGGCCCGGATATGGAATCAAGTGTGTGTGGCCTGCCCCAGTTCAAACTCAGATTGTACTTCTCTTTACTGGGATGCCTGGTCAGAGCCCACCAGTGGTGTTTCCACTGATAATGCTCCCAGACCCAGGAGCCACCAGGGCTGGGATGGAAGTAGCAGAGGTGACTGGTTCCCCTAGGTGGGGGAACTTCCCACCAGCTAAGGCATGGGCAAGCCCATCTGTTTACCTAGGTTCCTGCCACCACCAGGACATCATGATCCAGGTAGCTCAAGACTGGTGGGTACAGTCAGTCAACCTGACTTCCTTGAAAATGGCCCTGACCTGGAATTGGTTAACCTGGCTGATTTGATCACCAGAGACACTCCTATCTTGTCCAAACAATGCCTGTGGAGGCCCCTGGAAATGGGAATCTACTTCAATGGATTTAGCATCTACTTACACAGTGAACGTTTAGGAATTTAAGGTCCCAGAGAGAGAGAGAAAAAAAACCTTTGGAGGAAATACACTGACATAAAGGAACTCAGAAAACAAAACTACTCTATTGAAACTTTTATCTAGATTTATCTATTCAGAGAAACAAGCATAAAGTATATTTTCTGCCTAGTGGCTCACAATATGTTAGTGGGAAGCTGCATTCTTGTTTCCTTATTGCTTCTGTTCTTTTTTTTGTCATAGCATAGAGTGTGTGGATATGAGAGCAGACAATGGGTTAACGTAGCAGGCAGCTTTTGAGCTACTAGTAAACTATTGTCCCCCCACACCCCCATCTTTCAATCCATTGGAAATTATTGACTTGACTGTATGACAAGTCTTTTCCCAAAAGGCAGTTTGTTAAAAGAAAGAAGTAAATTGTGCATGGTTTTCTCTTTGTGTATCTAATTAGAGACTTGATCTTGGAAACCCTCCCTCACAGGAAGCTTCTGGCTGAGCCCCTGGAGGCTACCTGAAGAGGGCTGGGATCAGGCAAGCAAAACTCCCCTCTCCCTTTGTGAAAAGGGGGACTGCTTCCGTGCTGGTCCCTAGAGGAGGAGCAAGGGAAAGATTTAGACAAGCATTATATATGTTGAGCTAATATTAATATGTGTGCAGGACTCGCTTTGGTTTGAAAATCTCCCTAATCTTTCTTGGTTATTCATGCTGTTATATTTAACCATGGCTTTCCTGTAGTTGCCTGAATTACAGTGATTTCTCAGAAACATTTTATTCTCATTTGACTTATTGGAAATTTTTCCTCTATTAAGGAAAGTGATGTATTCTGTTAGGCCAGATTAAGATGAGAGAGAGAGAGAGAGAGAGAGAGAGAGAGAGAGAGAGAGAGACATTGGAGAGATTGCCAACTGCTGAGATAGCTTTTTGTCATTTTGTCTCTCTCCTCCCTTCCCCCTTCCAGTGCTCAGCAGAATACCTGGCACCCATAGGTGCGCTGTGGGGGAATGAAACAATTAAAACCCAAGAAGTTCCTTGACACTACTTGGTTGATCAAGTGTAGTATAGTATACTGCACAATTCTTTATGATAGCCAAGAAGTTTGAGAGGAGGGCTTATTGGCAATTTGTTAGATTTTGAGTACCTACAGGGAACTAAAAAAAAAAAAAAATAGTGTCAATCATCATCACAAAATTACATGCATGTATATAATTAAGAAAAAGGGAAATAAGACTCTTGACTAGAAGCTTGTTGCCGGTAATATTTTCAGTGTGGAAACAAGGATTTCAGACTGCTTATTTTGTAAATATTGGGGTGGGGTGGGGTGATGGTGATTGGGCAGGTAAAATCTTTCCCGTGTGGAAGCTAGAGTTTGCCAGGTGACCCCATTAAACTTAGAAAAGAGAATGAACATAAGTCCATTCCTCCAAATGCTGGCCACACAAGCTTTTCTGAAAACTTACATCAGTTTCAGAGCTCCTGCTTTAGCTTTCTTTGTGAGCAACAGAGAGTTAACATATGGCCCCGTCCCAGCTCTCTAGCCCCTCTGAGACATCAAATGTTTACTTCTCATTTGTTGACATAAACAACAAGCCTGGGTGTCAAGGTCCAGTAAGAGGCTGACTCCTTGGCCAGAGTTTTGGAAGGTAACTCACCAGTGTTTCTGATGCTGGAAGTAAGTCTAGAATTAAACTCCGGGCGAGGAACCATTTCTTTGGTGTCTGGCAACGGTGTACTGGCCACAACTTGATAACTACGGGAGGAGTGAAGGATTTGGTGGTGTTTTCTGCCAGGCTCTCTTGTCTTCCTCCCACCTTTGGAGAGATTTAATTCAGAAAATTGCTGTTGGCTTAGAATAGAACACCAAGAACTTCAGAAGGGGGTGGTCTGGTGATTCACATTGAAAACCATTTAAAAAATTAATCAATGACTTCGCTGTACTCTACAGAGGCCAAGGAAAGGCTAACCAATTATTTTTAGTCCTCTTCATCAATCTTTGATCTTCTCCTTAGCATATAGTTTTTAATTCATCGGTTCAGTTTTTTTCCCTTCTTTAACCTGAATTAAGGGTTTTGCCCATGACAATATGTATAATCTAGACTCTGTGTTTTTGTACTCCCCTTTGTTTTATTGCCTACCTACCCTCTCCAAACCCAAAGAGAAGAAAAGGTGCTCTGGTGAAAGGCTCCCCACAGCTGGTGCCATCTCCAGCTGAGGGCCATTTGGACAGCGCTGCCAGGAACTCCTACCCCTTGTGAGCATCTCCAGCTACTTTATCTCCTGGGCCATCGGATGAAGGAGAAGTGGCTCTCTTGGGTTTAAATCCATTCTTGTGGTCCCAGTTTCAATGAGGACTTTTCAAGGCCTCAGGCCCAGTGCGCTGAAGGGAGAAGGAGTCCTAATATCGTGGAGGGGTCCGAGGCTCCCTGGTGAGGCTTCAGCTGCAGAACCCCACACTGCTTTTCTCAGCCACTTGGAGTCTGGGGGAGCTGGCCTTTCTCTTGTCAAACTTCCCGTGGATGTTTCTTTCTTTGATCTTTATATGGTTGAAGTACATTGCAAAGGAGGTCTGTCGTGGGGTAAGTGATAGATTTTCCAGGTTTGAGGCGGTGGTTAAGGATGCTCTTCTGGTGCCTAGAATGTAGATTAGGAGGTGCCAGGGTAGAGTGCCAGGGTTTGGGGTTAGGAGGACAGGGCAAGGGGCCCTCTTGCTCAGAGCAAAGAGGGCAGTGGGAGACCAAACTGGGCTCAGGATGGTCTCCAGATGCACCATCCCCGGCT